GACAGTATGACATCACAGAGGGGGTTTTGTGACATCACTGACGGGCCTGTGACATCAAAGAGGGGGCTGTGACATCATAGAGGCCATAGAGCAGATCCTGCCATCATAGAGGGAGGCTCTGTGACACCAGGGAGCGGGTTGTGACATCACTGAGTGGCTGTGTAACATTTTAGAGAAGGCTGTGACATCACAGAACAGACTGTAGCATCACATGGTCACTTTGTGACATCACAGTCTTCTGTGACATCACAGTGCAGATGCATGACACTACAGGGTGACGTGCCAGAGTTGGCTCTGTGACATTACAATGGGTGTGTGTGATGTCACAGAGTGGGCTCTGACATCACAGAGACTTTGTGACATTACAGGGTGTCTATGTGGCATAACAGACATGGCTGTGTGACATCACAGGGGCTGTGTGACATCACAGGGGCTGTGTGACATCACAGGGCTGTGTGAGGTCACTGGGGAGGTCACTCTGCCCCAGCCCCCCTCACAGTTCCCCCAGAGCAGTCCAACGCTGCTCGTGCACAGTGGGGTCCCCTGTCCCCCCGGGTCCCCCCGCCCCCAGCGCCGCAGCCTCCCCCAGAGGATGTTCCACGGGATCGACCCCAGAGCCTGACACGGGGACGGGGGGCCGGGGCCCTGGGGGTGGGACAGGGGGACAGGGACCCCCTGGCAGCATCCCCGTGTCCCCCAGGGCCAGAGCCTGGGCCAGGGCTCCTTCACCCTGTTACGAACGAGGGCTTGAGAGCACTGAAAAAATCCCCAGCAAGGGATCAGCAAAAACCAGATTTAATATTAAAGGACAGCACCACAAAGTTCCTTGGCAAGAGTCACTCTGCTCCTGACTGGACACTTCAGGCACACCAGGGAAACAAAACAACAACAAAACCAAACAATGTCCAGGCAATCAAACCAGAAATGAACCGAGAACTGGGGATTTCCTTCCTATGGAAAGAAACTGTCCTTGTCCAGGTGCCCATGAAATTTGGGCTCCACTTCTAACAATCCCTATTCTGACAGACTGGAGGAGAATGTTGGCTCAAAACATTTCATGTGTGGGGAAGGTCCAGCCTTGCCCTGCCCTGGAAGCCCAGCACTGCCCTGCCCTGGAAGCCCAATCCCCCCAGAGCCTCTATCCCAGCCCAGCAGTGTCTGCCAGTCCCTGGCACAGCACAGGCAATGCTCCACAGCCACCTCTGGAGCCCCAGCCCAGCTCCTGAGTCACCAAATGAGCCCAAGTCCCACCTGGGGGAAGGGCCCA